CGGGGGGGGGGGGGGGGGCGGGGGCGGGGGTCAGGCTACGATGCGTCTGCTTTTGGTTTGTGAGGCGAAGAATTCAAGGAAATTCCATAAAAACGCTTTTTTTGTGGTGCTGAGCGAGGGCTCAAGCTAGACGAGGAGATGGCTGAGGATAGGTTGCTGGTTAATAGAGTGAGGTCGTTGTCATGGTCAAAATAGAAACACGTAAAGAGAACGAATGGTGGAGGAACACAATGGCGCCACCCGCTGCCCCGGATATACAGTAAGTAAGCAAGATATTTCTCGCAAAAGGTACAGCGTACTTAGGTGTGCTCAGGGGCTAGCTTCTTCGTGTCGTAGGCTAGCAAATAAATATATATATATATACTGATCTCGGTGTTTACACTTTAGTACAGGGATTTTTTCTTGTGGTCTGGCAGGGTTGGGCAGGGAGGGAGGGGGCTTCTCGAGGGTGACGGGAAACCGACGGTATTGGTATGGTAGTGAGCCGGGATGTTGCGGTGCCTCTCCACTCGCTTGCGATGCTGCTGCTGCACGATGCGGTCTGGTCGCGTCATCTCCCTCCCTCTGTATCTACCTTGTCTTCTTGCTTTCCTTGCTTCTACAGGTCAGGTTGTGTTACGAAAAAGAACGGGCGAGCACCTGGGAACGAACGTAGTAAGCGCATTCGAATGTTTATAAGCACCACAGAGGATGGCAGGCACATATTGCAGTCATTCGTTGGACATGTATGTGCTTTTCTATGCCGAAGAAAGAAAGAGAGGAGGAGAAAAAACAAAAAAAAGTACGACAAGGAAGGTTGGCGCGACGACGCCGGGAGTGAAGAATGAAACGACACAGCGCATGATGATTACATGGCCGTCTGATTGTGTCATGTTTGTTGGCATGCCCAGCATTGATTGTTCGATGCTTGGGTGGGTGGGGGGGGGGGTTCTGCGGGCCGTGCAGACTTAGAGAGGCTATATGGAAAGAAAGGGTGAAACATGGTCCCTACTGCTGCTGTTGCCTTGCTTCTGCCGTCCGGGGCGGGGATTGAGTTCGTTTGCGCCTCGGCGCCGTGAGTGACCGAAAAAAAAAGTGCCATGACTTGCTGTACACACATGAATCGAATAATCGAAGGGGCCATGCTCCTAGCTGTAGCTCCCTTGAAACATGGCACAACTTATATACTACTTCGTCTACATTCCAATGGGTCATGCTACTGGTTGTAGCTCCCTCGAAACATGGCACAACTTATATACTACTTCGTCTACATTCCAATGGGTCATGCTACTGGCTGTAGCTCCCTCGAAACATGGCACAACTTATATACTACTTCGTCTACATTCCAATGGGTCATGCTACTGGCTGTCAGCTCCCTTGGTACAAAGCGCAACGTGCCTACAGCAAGAGCAGCAGGACATACATGATGACGAGATGGCAAGGAGCGCGGCGTATGTATGCTATCAAACAAGCTTGCTTTTCCGGGAGCACCGGCTGTTATCTGCTGTTGCTCAAATAAAGCTCTCCAGGCAACTATTGCTTCAAGCAAATGGAAAATTCCCCAGTTGCAAGTTGGGGTTTCTGACGCGAACGAGATTTTTGGGACAGACTGCCAGTCAGTGTCACAAGACTATTTCTACAGCTATTGCGGGGACAACAACTTCAGCTACATAGCGCCTGCACTCCAATAACTTGGCAGTTGAGAAATTGATTTAGCCTCGTAAAAAAATTACCAAAATCTAAGAACATTGCGAGCTCGGTTGTTTAAGAACCCCCGCATTAAATCCTCTATTTATTGTGACCATTCGTACCAATGAACCCTACCAGTACTACGTAGGAACTAAGAACTCCACGCTCGACCAAAACCAGAGATAGCTTCTTCAGTGGGGGCTTCTACTGTATAGTATAGACTATCGGTATCAGAATATCTACATTACAATCAAAGAGAGACTTGTACATGTTCGAGATTACTTACTTGTACCGTTAGCCTAACCACAAGTAGTCGAAGGGAATGGGTTCAATCAAGTCTTTGCAGTCAAATGGGGGAGTGCAGGCGCGTGCTGTATGTGCCAAAGAGCGTGGTCACCATCTCTTATTATCTATCTGGGAACGAGAGGCGCCTGACCCCCCCCGCTGAGGCCGGGTCGGAGCCGCTCCCTCTCCTGTGGCTCCCGTGCGTGTGCCTCGCGCAGTGCTGGGCGATGCGGCTGCCGAACTGTATGGCGCGCTTCGGGAGGCGCCTGCAGCTCTCCAACCCTAGGTGGGAGGCCACCTGTGAGCAGAGAGAGAGGGGGAGGGGCGCGCGGGGGGGGGGGGGGAAAAAAAAAAAAAAAGAAACAAAAAAAGACAAAGAGACCGACAGACCGAGAGACCGACCGACCGACCGACCGAAACCGAAAGAGAAACACAAAGAGGGGGGCCCCGAAAAAGACCAAAGGGCCCAAAAAAGGGGCACCGGGCCAACCAAAAAAAAAGGGAAGCGGGGG